ACCCCCACTCTTTAAGGCTCCGGAACCAGCTCCTGCCACCTGGTGTCCAGAGAGGCATCTTTTATACCAGACAGAGGGACTGCCCACAGCCCCCTACTATGCCCACTGGGACAGCAGATTCCCTCAGGTCAGCTTCTCTTTTACACAACTGGAAACAAGCAGCAGCAGGGCAGGGAGGAGCCAATACCTGCACCAAGACCACCAGCACTGCTGTCCTATGCTGCTCTCTCAGGGAGGGGATGCACAGCAAGTGGCATGCAGGTCCTGCGAGCTCCTTGACAAGGGCACCAGGAAGCTTCAGTGCAGCCTTTGCTGGACAGCACAGCTGCAGCAGCTACATCCCCTCACAGACACGCTGCAGCTGGGTGGCATGTAGGGCAGTGGCATCCTCTTTGCTCATGTAGCCTGCAGGATAGCAAAGCGAGCACTCCCTGCCCCCTTGTCAGGCATCAGCAAAAATGCCTAATAATGACCCCTGGAAGAAGTTCCCCATTCTTCCCCCATGTACATGGAGTATAGGACTCCTGCTTCTTGCTTTGGTGCCCAGTGGCATCATCATTCCCAGCTGAGCACAGGGCTTGGGGCAAGGGGTGCAAGGTGAGGCAGCTCCCAGGGTTTTCTGAGGCCAGACACCCTCCATCAGCTACTTCAAGGTACAAAGAATGATACTTTGGGGAGAAAGGGCTGGCTCCTTCCCACCCCTGTGATCAGCACTTGCAGACTGAGTGAGGGCACAGGCCAGCCAGAGTCTCTTGGCAGTGCCCTACCTGGGGCACACAGATGCAGCAATGGGGGAGGGAGCTGCATCTGGCCCAGACATCAGAGCTGCAAGGGACTGTCCTTGTGGCCCAGCAAGCCAGGGGGAAGCACAGTTTCACAGCTCAGAGGCTCTCTGGGATTTCAGGCCTGCATTCTCCAATAGGCCGCAGTCAGCTCTTCCCCTAGGCAGGTCTGGGTGCTAGAAGTGGGAAGGATGGGTGCTCATTCAAAGGGGACTCAGCCCCTTTTCATCTACCAGAACAGGAGTCAGCCCTGGCACCAGGTAGGTAGCGAGCAGGAGCAGTGAGCTGTGGGACATGATCTGGAGCTGCCCAGTTGAGTCAGGCTTCCCATACCTCAGCCCCAGCAGCTTGGCTGCTCTCTGGTTGGAGGAGTCTGATTAGCGGCAGGCGGCAGCCACACTCCCAAACACTGGAAGCGGGAGGGTCCAGGGAGTAGCTAAGCCCTTTGGCTCACAGTCGCCATAAATCAGCCTGGCATCTTTCGCAATATTTGTGTTGCATCATAACTGGTCCTGCAGCTGCCAAGCTCCCCACATGGGGCCATTCCATAATCCCCTCCTTTCTGAGCACATGCTCAGGGGCCAGACACAGTCCAGCACAGTGCGAACCCACCAAGAGGAGCTGGGATGAATGGGACCTTTCACATCCAGGAAGAGTTTAGCCTGCGGGGGCCTCCCATCCACAATTCCGGTTCTAGCCTAAAGCATCCCCTGCTAGCACAGCCAAGGGAGGGGCAGTACCTCTGCTCTGAGGCTGCCCCACACTCCTGACACACTGCCCCCTTCCCATGCTGCTCAGCCTCTCTCTCGAGCTAGGATGACCAGAATGGAACAAGCTGCAAAAACATTTCTGTGCTAGGGCCAAAATGCCCAGGGAGTGCCAGACTGAGCCCTGGCAAACTCAGAGGGAAGACCAAGCCAAGGTTGGTTACAAGCAGCAGCCAGACAGAAGCGACTGCAGTGCTTAGATCCCTCTGCCTTGGAAAAGTTGAGGGATGGCCTGCTCAGGTCCCAGCCCAGGGGGTGAGGGGTGCTTTCCTCTCCCCAAATGCATGGGAACTCAATTCTGACAATTTGAGCCCTTTCCCTGGAATCTGATCCTGGACCTTGTGAGCTGCTGCTGAGACAACATGAGAGCCAGGCGCTGCCCTCAAGCCCCTACAAGGCTTACAGGGTGAAGTTAGAGCACACCAACTCCCCACATGAGCATAACCCCAGGGCCTGAGGTTTGTGCCCAAAACACCTCTCCACTTCCCTGCTCAAGAGCTGTGAAAGCACATCCTGCCCCTAGCCTGGGACCCCAGCAGCACGAGGCCAATCAGCTGGCGGCCATGCTCTGCCAGCCATTGCTCACGTTCTTGTTCTTGATACAGCACTACGGAGAACTGGGGCCTAGTGCCCAGAGTGGCAGGATGGGAGCTACGACTCCTGGGTTCCATCCCTTGCAGCTTCACTGCATTTAATACTGGAGCAACAGTCTGCCACATGGACCACTTGCCCTGACACACCCAGCAGCCCCAAACTGCCCACAACCAGCAATGCCAAGGGAGGACGGCATCTTTGTCCCTGCCAGCTCCAGACCCCCTACCCAATGAAGAATACCCAAGGAGCCCACTCAGTGGTGGCACACAGGGGCAGGAGATATGTAGCCTGGCTTGCCAGCAGGGACACAATGTACTCTCCTAATAGCCACCTGGTGAGGCGCAGAAAGACACTAAGAATCGCAGGCACTGGACCCATGTACTGGAGTACTGCTTCCAGTTTTGGGCTCCACAATTCAAAAAGGATGTGGAGAAGCTTGAGAGAGTCCAAAGAAGAGCCACGTGCGTGATCAGAGGTCAGGAAAACAGACCTTATGACAACAGGCTGAGATCTATGAGGCTCTTTAGCCTGGAAAAGCGCAGGCTCAGGGGTGATCCGATGGCCACCTATAAGTTTATCAGGGGTGACCACCAGGATCTGGGGGAACGTTTGTTCACCAGAGCGCCCCAAGGGATGACAAGGTCAAATGGTCATAAACTACTACAAGACAGTTTCAGGCTGGACATAAGGAAGAATTTCTTTACTGTCCAAGCCCCCAAGGTCTGGAACAGCCTACCATCAGAGGTGGTTCAAAGCACCTACACTGAACACCTTTAAGAGCAAATTGGATGCTTATCCTGCTGGGATCCTATGAGCCCAGCTGACTTCCTGCCCTTTGGGCGGGGGGCTGGACTCGATGATCTTCCGAGGTCCCTTCCAGCCCTAATGTCTACGAAATCTAGGAAATGTAGCAAGTTGAAGTGGAAGCAGTCCAGCCCACCCCCTGCCAGGAGAAGCATGCTTCCGGGGTGTTTTCAAGGGCCGATCTGAGGGTGCTCTAGCCAGTGGCCACAGGAAGAGGGAGGGGCAGGAGACAGCAAGGAGGGGCTGCAAGGGTGGCTGCAGCAGCAGGTTTCCCTGGACGCAGGGGAAGAGATTGGTGGTGCAACTGAAGCTGAAGCCATCAGACCCTTCTGCCAGGGCTCAGGCTCTCCCCCAGCACTAACGGCTTCTCATCCCCAGTGCTCCTCTGACAGCTCTGCTGAGCACTCCAATCCCCCCACCGCCTCATCTCACAGGTGAAGAGCCCAAGACAGTGCCTTTCCCAAAGCCACAGCCTCTCAAGTATCCAGGCTGGGATCAAAACCCAAGAAGAACTGGCTCCTTGCCCAGAACTGGCCCTGCTAGGCCATGCGGCCAACACGTGTCTATTCCTGCTGCAGCCAGCCTGCCAGACACCCACAGCTCTCATTGGCCTTTGCTGAGGTGGAGTTTGGGGGAGGCTGGTATTTTTACACATTTGTTCCTTTCCGAGGGTGTTTATGAGGCTCTGGCTACAAACACAGCTCTGTGGAGCCCTGGGCAGTGGGTCCAAGTAGCGCCCTATGAAAGCCCCATTGTGCAAAGCTGAAAGTCACTTCTAAAAGGGGGTGGGGAAGGAGACCTATTTACATAAGTTAAGGTGCATTTATAGCCAACAGCTTCCCTAGGCCACCAGAGCAAGCAGTCCTGCACACAGCCCGGAAACAGAGCCCAGCTGCAAATGACAGTGCCCAAACACCTCCTGCTGTGGTCCCAGAGAATGGGAAGCCAGTGCCGCACACCCTCCCACTGTGCCTAACTGGCCTCTTCGACGCTGCCAGAGCTGCCCCAAACACCGGACTTGAGACCAGCCATAGCTGCCTGGCAGACTGCGGTCTTCTAGTTTTGATGCAAGCCTGTTCCAGTTCACAGCTCTCAGGGGGTCCAGGGCATGTGCTCCACTGCAGCCCAACAGTTTCATGGCACCTAGAATGATTCCTTCCTTGACAGACCAAAATGGGTTCAGACAGGGGCTGCAACAGGAACCTCAGGCACCTCATGTCCACTTCTTTCTGCAAAGCCTAGTCAGGCATGTACAGTGGCCTTTGCCATGGCTTAGGGACCTGAGAACACATCTGCTTCCCCATGCATCAAGCATTTCATGGGCCCTTGGGCATCAACCACCCCCAAGGTTCATGTGGCAGGGGCAGGATTCAACCTACTGAAATCCTCACCCCTACCCCTGCTTGGCTCCGATGGCCCTGCGTACTGAGTCATGCCTCATCTCAGCGTCCCATTCTTTGGTTGGGGAATCAGCTGGATACATCACCCTCTGTGCTGAGCTCCCCCATACCTACAGAACCACCCCACCACCTCCAGACTGCAGGCACACGCTCCCAGGAGGGATTTGTTTCTCTAGCTAACTGTGCTCAATAAGCCAGGAGACCATTACCAGATTGCTGCAGGGCTCTGCCCCCACCCAAATACAAGGACAATTATTTGGGCATACCCTCTCCAAGCAGCAGCATCACCCTGCCCTGCAGGAGGCACAGGTGAGCAGGAGGGGCTCCCAGCAAGCACCACCCAGCTGGGAGCACAGCACCCAGGCAGGGGGCAAGGACTCACAGCACAGCTGAGGCAGGGATAAGGACCCAGGCATCAGGGCTTTCTGTGGAGTTCAGCACCTTCCAGCAGGATTCCCTCACCCTGGACAGGAGTGCAGCCTTCCAGCAACCAGCCCTAATGCTTGTAATTAGCAACCTCCAGATCTCCCAGGTGGGAGGCAGCACACTGCCCCCCAAGCCCCAGCACAATTTTGCAGGTAGCTACAGAAACAGCTCTGTGGCACCCCCATGCACACTCAGCCCTGCCCAGGGGTTCAGAACCATCTATGCCAACAATGCTGCCAAAGCCCGAGCCCCAAGCTAAACACGTAGGAGTGAGAAGCCTAGAATACCTTGGCTGCTCTAGACCTTGCAGCATGTCTGGTGAGCACAGGATTTCACTTACAAATCACAGGCTAGAGCAACCCCATCACGCCCACATCTGTAGCTCATCCAAGGCAGCCCCGTACCAGGGTGCACCAGAGGCCTGAAACAAAAGCCCAGCCTACTTGGGCAGCAACCCCAGGTGCCAAGAGGCAGCCCAGAGCCAGAAGTCATAACCTCCCACCCTGGTGCTGCCTCTGGGGAAGCCAGGCTAAACTCGGGGCTCTGCCATGCACATGCTGCACCCTGCTACAGACATGGAACGTAACAGAGGTACAGGAAGGGAAGGGCTACATGCCAGTATCAGAGACAGCAGTATGGAAAGGCTGTCAGACACCTACGTGAGATGCACCTCCTTATCAAATGGCTACCTCACATAGCTAGGACCCACCAGACAGAGTGAGCAAGCAAGCACAAAGACTGCCCCAGAGCCCAAAGCTCCTGCCTCAGAGGATGCTGCTGCAATGTAAAATGCAACAGGCACTGCTGTCTGCCATTCCAGAGCATTTAACCACAACCCCCCTCCCTCCAGGCACAGACTACAGCATCTAGGTGGCACAGTGGCATCAGGCGGGGGCTTCTGAATCAACATGCAACAGGCACAGCTGGTAGGCACCCAAGCCCATGTATGCGACTGCCCAGGATCCCACCCCATGCACAATCCTTGGCAGCTGTCTCCTCTCCGTCCCATGGCTCACATCACCCAGAGGGCTCGTGTCCAGGACGGGGCTCCAACTGGGCAAGTCAGCATCACCCCATGGGTGGGCAACGGCATTGCAGAACAGGGTGGGGAAGAGGGAAGCAGTCTTAGGGACCTTTCTGGGTGAGCACTCTATACACAAAGATGGGGGTGCAAACACAGTTCAGCCAGCCCCAGGCCTGGCTCTGTGTTGCTGCCCAGGGCAGCAGAGCTGAAAGAGGAAGCATTTGAAAAACCACTGAGGATCAACATATTTACCGACTAGCCCCAAGGTGGGCCTCTAGTCCCCTCCTGCCCCACCCCATTCCTTTCCCCAGGCATTTGTCAACAAAAACCCTGTTTTAAAACTAGATCTGGAAAGCAAAGAGAGTTCAGGGCAAGTCTGCAGCATAGGGGAGCCCAGGGCTGGACAGCCAGGAGCTGGGTGCCAGAAACAAGGGGCAACAGCAGACCTGGGTGGGAGCCCAAGGACAGAACAGGCATGGGCTCAGGATGGGGAAAGGAATGATTTTCAAAACTAAGGGGCACCCTGAGAGCTGTGTGAGGAGTCCAGGGCTGGAATGAGGTGACCATTTCTATTTTAAAGGCCATAAAAGACAACTGTGTGAAATACAGAGGACAAAGCTATTTTTATAAGGGCAGAACCACAACCATTTTTATCTGTGGTCCAGAATCCTATATTCGTATCACAGCGTCCAATTCTCTCCATGACTGTTGCTCAAAAAACAGACTTTTAAGGTCTAGCAAAATGTTCCTTAGCCCCTTTTGGGATATGGGTCTTGGGACAAGAGAGGCTGAACCAGGGATATCCCAAATGAGAATATCAGCAGAGCTGGTACAATAGTGATCTGTGGATTGGGAGACAGGGGACCAACAGAGCTAGGATAAGCAACACAGCAGGGCTTTCTACACAAACTTTGTATCCAACTGCCCCTGCCTCCCCCTGCCACTCTGCTGGACAGGACACTCAGCAGACAGGGGAATTGCCAGAACCACCCTCTACAGAAAGGGTCCCCTAGATGGCAATAGCAGACACTGCTCCCCCCTCCCCCCCAGAAATACCATTCAGCATCATCTCTCAAGCCTGCCAGGAAGTCATCTGCACAGCCACCATGACAGCAAGCTTGGCCATGACAAGCAACACGTGCCAGGCTGGCTGACAGACTGATACAGATAGTGACCTGTTGCATCCCCCTGAGGACTCCCCCAGAATTGCAGACATACCTCCAGGACATCCCCAAGACCCCCTGCACAGTACATACCTTTGGCCTGAGAAGTGCTGGTCTGCCATGGGGTCTGTATCCCCATTCAGTTTGAAGCCTTGACAACATGGCAAAAATCAAGAAGCAGCATGTAGATAAGAAACACAGGCAGACACTCGTCACAGTGCCAGGAGGGACACCACAATTATCCAAATAGGGAAAGCAAGGTGAAATAGGGTCACCCTGAAGCACATGCTGGGCAATGTTTTCTATCCTGGACACTCATCCTGGAGGAATGGGATTCCAGATTTGGGAAGGTGCGAATGTCCTGACCGAAACAAGAGACACACACAAGGACAGGGCTACAGAGCAAGCTGGCAATCAAGTGTGAGTGACTGTGTACCTCCCCAACATCTATGAATCTATGTAGCACCACCCAAATCATGATGCTTTCCTTGCTGAGAGCTGAACCCCAGGGCCTTCCAAAGAGGGCCCTGCTCCCTACGCTGAAAAGCAGCCACCTCTGCAGCACAGTACAGGGGTTAGGGGGCCAAGATGACAAACTCACAAGACACATTATCCTATGTAAACAAGGACTTGGGACCTCTAGATGTAGCCTCCTCAGGACAAAGAGGTTATCAGAGACTTTGGACCATAGCTGTAACTTAAGGGGGCTGAAACAGAAAAAGGGGCCTCAACACAGACAGCCCCACACTGCCCTGCTGAGGCCTCACCTCCATTACTAGCAACTGTGCCATCGAAAACACTTGAGTCTGGAAACAGAGGGGGCAAAGACAGTAACGAAACCAGTCTCCTTGGCACAAGCACCCTGGAATCATCGCCTCTTTGGGGCCCACCAGAAAGGCACATGGGGGTGAAAGGAAAAGAAACGGGGGCCCTGGCAGAAGCCCTGAGTCCAGGCACTAATACAGTGGCTGCTACATCCACCTCCAGAAGGCTTATAGAGCTTCTGGCAGCATCACACAGACTACCCACAAGCCGCAGGTGCCCATCAAGGCTTCTGTATTTATAAAGCTGCCAGCACTGCATTAGGCTGTGGTCATACTAACCTGTCAGAGCCTGACTGGGACACAGTACCCCTGAATGAAGTTAACCACTCCCGCTCCAAACACACTGAGGAAGCCAGGCACTGGTGCCACCAGACCAGCACTCTGACCCAGCTAACTCCCCTGGGGCACTGCACAGAATTACCTACTTCAGCCAGAGCCAGCGATGTGCTTGGTCATGCTGACCCTTTTATGTCTTGACCTGGTATGACTGCAAGCTCTTTGGGCAGGATTGGCACAGGTGTCTGGAGCACGGCTGTGGGCCTGCCATAACACAGGGACAACACCAAGCCAGACAAGAAACAGCAAGCAATGGGGCTGGGATATGGAATCCAAAAACTGGCGGCAAGACACTAAGCGTTTTTCACGAGAGGATCCTCATTGCCAGATTGAGCAGAGCACCCTGGCGCCAGCACATGTGTCTGAGACGCAGAAGGGGGATCCAAGCAAGGTGTGCTGGGAAGGGGGGCCAGGGTATGCGTGAGCCCTGCTTACAGCCCGCTCGGCCAGCTTGGGTGCTGCAGCCCATCTGCAGAAGTGGCACCGTTGTGAATGATGGCAAATGAGAGTAATTTAATATCTTGTTTGCTGCCAGCTCATTCTTCCTTGTAACACAAATTGCCCTGTTTCAGGTCCAGCCTGCCAGCCTTAGGAGGCCCTGGCGCACAGGTAGGAGAGCCCAGGTGAATGGAAACAGGTCACAGGTGCCAAGGTAAAGCCAGCCACAGCTTAGGGCTGTCCCCACTTTGCCTGACCTCCTCCTCTCCGGGCATAGGCTGGTCTGGCACCCCTCGAACAGGGGTGGTCTCTGAGGAACGGCAGGCACTGGGGAACCAGGTCAGGGGCTGGAGGTGTCCCTCGGGCGCCCGCATCCCACGCACCCACTTCCAGGCCGGGGCCACTCGGCCCTAGCTCTGAACACTGCCGCCCCAAGCTAGGATTTCCCATCTCAGCCTTTGTGCGGACCACCAGATGGAGGTGGAGGAAGCGCCCGGTGCAGCGGGCAGCAGGGGCCGCGCTCACCTGCAGCTCGCACCAGGCCACCTCCACGGTGGTGTCGGTGTCCAGCCCCTTGTAGACCGTCTTGAAGGAGCCGCGGCCGATCTCGATGTCAAACTTGAGGAACCGGCCGTCCGGGGACGTGGCCACGGCGCGGGTCTCCGCCTCCTCGCTCTCCTCCTGCTCCTGCCCCTGCTCGCGCCGGGGCCCCTCGGCTGCGGGCGGCGGGTTCCGGCGCTGGGGGCGCCCC